TATACCCGCGGGGAAGTACTTTATACTCCTTTCGTTATATACCCCTTTTATATCTTTATAAAAAGGATATACTTAGTAGCTATATACGTATAGATTATTAAAATATAAAGTTATTAATTTAGAATCCCGTATTTAGTAACCCGTCTATTACTAACGCTAATATCGTTTTTATTAATTAATTTTTATTATAATAAATAAGTCTCTATCGTTAGCCTTTTATAAAGTAATATTATAAATAAATATTGCTATTAATACTGCTTCGTCTTAGAGCTTTTTAAAGAGGTTCGTAAAAAGGTATATTTTATAAACTTTAGTAATTATAAGTTAACCTACTCTCTTTATATTACTACGGGTTCTTTTATATATAGAGGTAAAAGTTCTATTTTAATTCTTAGTTTATTATATTACGTTTCGTAAGTGCGTTTAACGTTTATTATAAGGACCGCGGTTTCGTTATTATTTTAAAAAAAATAGATTAAAGTTCTTTTTTAATAACGGATTACTATTTCGAAGTTCTAGAGTACGTAAAGTACTTTTTCCTCGGTTTTATTTTTTAAAAAGAACCCCTAAGCTATTTATTATATTTATTAAAGCTATAAATATATATTATCGTTTATTTAAAAAGGTTAAAATAAAAAAGATCTTAATATACTTAGTATTATAGCCGTAAAGCGCGTTTTAAAAGCGGTCTTTTAAAATTACTAATTTAGCTTTAAATATTATATAAACTTTGTATTTAACTTATATTAAAAGCTTAATACTACTTTATAAGTTTTATATAGAAGTTAACGAAGGTATTAGGTCTAGATAACCGGTTCTAAAGTACTATAGAAGCGTACTATTAAATCTTTTATAAATACGTTAATACGAGCGGCGGAACTTTTTATAGCTAACTAATAATATAATACTAGCTAGGCTTTTAAAGATATAATTAAGGGCTATAGTAAAAAGTAGAATTAAAAGAGCTTATATTTAAAGAAGACTAGGTTATTTTTTTAAATTAATTACTTTTTAACGGTGTTCTTATAAAGCGTTCCTTATTATAAAGTATAATCTAGACTATAGTACTAAAGTACGCTTCTATTTAAAAGAGTTTTTAAGACTATATTTATATAGAAGCCCTCGATATAAGCGACGTTCTAAAACCTTAAATTATATATTCCCTCCCTTTAGGTCTATTTAAAACGCCCTTTATAATCTAAGTCCTACGTATAGTAATGGGTAATATAATAGTTTTTAATTTAACGTAGTTATCGTTACTTAATAGTATATAGCTTTTAGGTTTTAATAAGCTCTTATTATTAACTAGGTATATTACCCCGTAGCTATTTATTACCGTGCTCCGGGATAAAAGATAAGTACTATTTATAGGGGTATTAAAGATTACGTTTAATTCTATTTTTTAACCCTTAATAAATATAGTAACTACGTAGCCCTCGTCCTAATTTATTAATAAGCTCGTTATAAACTAGTTAAAGGATCCTTTTAAAAGCCGAGGCTTTTTAAAGGTTCTATTATCCTTTAGCTAACTAACTTTCTTAAGCTTACTATAAAATAATTTCTATTTATTTAATTTAATCGCGGTAAAGACCTCTTCTATATAACTATTAAATATTTATATTAGGGACCTATTAATATTACGATTTATAAGTACTTACTCTAGTTTTTAGTATATTAAAGGCCGCTAGCGGTATACGTAATTATATAAATATATAACGTCCCCCTTATTATTTACGTTTTTATATAAGTTAAAACGCCCTAAAAAAGTAAAATAAGCCCTTCCTTGGCCTAAAGGCCGTTTTGTATATACCTTTTAAGTTACTAAGCTAAACGTATACGTAATCTCCCCGAGGGTTCTAATATACGTCCTAAAAACGATTAATTTATAAAAAGTATTATAAATTCGTTAGCTTTATATAAAGTTAAGCCTAGATTTAACCGCTTTTAAAAAGTTAATTATAATAATCTTTTTTTAAATTTCTAGGATATTATATGTCTTTATTTAGAGGTAAGTAGACTACTATTCCTTGTATTAATATTAAGTATTAACTCCGTTCTTTACTTTATTAAAGACTTATCTATATTTTTACCGAACCGCACTCTTAACTATAGCCTCGGAGGGCGCTAAATCCTATTTTAATTACTAAACGATCTATTAAATACTAAACTTAACGCCTTCCTAGGTTACTTTTTAAAATACGTATTTATAAAAAGTAATAATAATAGACTTTTTTAATTACTAAATAAAGAGTTTAATATATATATTAATATTATTATGTTTAAGAACTATAATTTAATAATATTTAGTAGAGAGCTCCTATTCTTTTTAAATATTCTTAAGCGTATAGATCTTCTTTACGGGTACGGTATAGGGATATATTTAGTTATATAAAGTTAATAATATAGCTAGTTTTATAAAAAGAACTCTAGTTAGATTTTATAAATTGCTTGTATTTAAAGATATTAAAAGGGTCGTACTAAGAATTAAAGCTAAAAGTTATTAATAAAGGATTTTTTATTTTCGTTAATCGTTTTTAAACGCTTTATAGCGAATTTCGTAAGCTCGTCGCTCTTTTTTATTATAAATTAAAAATAATAGTTTAAAGTTTAATAGTAAAGAGAATATTATAAAGGGAGCGAGGAGTATATTGGAGTTTAAAGCGTTTAAATTGACGTATTTCTAAACTTCGAGGCCCTCGTTTATAAAGTAAAAAGCTTAAAACTATTTAATTTAATTATTATAGCTAGTTAACTTAGCTTAACTAAAGGTTAACGTAAAAATATCTATTATTTTAAAAAGATAGTAAAAATTATATTAATAAATACGTTATCGTATTTTAGGGTCTTAACTAAGAGCTAGGCTTATAATTAATTATTATAAGTTATAGTATATAGTAATAGGTATATAGAGTATAATAAAGTAGCCTAATTTATTAAAGTAGAAATAGATAAAAGAGAAAGGTCTATATATAGGATATAAATGAGATATACGTAATATAGCACGTGATAGGTACTTTGTGGATTGCGGTCCCTATCCTTGTTACGTGACACTTTCCTTAGTCGAGCTGCATCACGGACGCGTTGTGGAAGCTTTTGAAGCACGAGCTTTCCGTCAAGATCCAGGATATCAGGCTTCCCAGGTTCCCGTCGTCAATGGGGAACTTCCGCCAAGCTCAACCAGAGGGACCTTGTTCTGAATCTGAACCTCGGAGCGTCCAAGGTTCCCCCCGAAATCTTTAGATACAACTTGCCGTGCCATAAACATGACTACAGTATTCGCTGACTTGAGAAAATTTGATAATCTTACGCTAGCTGGGGAGGATATCGGTTGAAGTATTCTCCCGTCACCGCATTAGTGACTGGTTTTCTTTCAAATATTCTGCCTCAACCTCTGAGGCCCATCATGCCCCTTGTAGCAACCCTCAAAGCTCAAACTTAGTCTAGCCCCCCTCCTACATGAGAATGATTATCTCTGGGTCTATTTCGCCCTTCTCTGCAGTTTGTTCAAATTCCCCTTCCATAATCCCGTCAATATAGCACTCTCCAACCAGCATCCACATGTTTTCTAGTCCATGTTCCGCATGCCTCAAGACAACTGGCACCGAACACCCAACCAGGACAGCAATCTGATCTCTTACTTTCGTTTCAAATGGAACGAATCCCAAAGACTTTATTAAAGTTGCCAGTCTCCGATCATTAGATAGCATCACCTCCATTGAAGACACGAGTTCTTGGCGTTGTTGGTGCTCAGCTTCGTGCTCAACGTCAGGGGGCGATTGACCTGCATTATGACTAAACAGTCTGTGCATGATCTCCAAATACTCGTTGGGTAAGTGGGTGACCCCTTTTCTCGATAACAGCCGGTCACCTACTAAGGCCTTGAGAAAAACGGCATTTACGTTGCCTTCACTGTCCAGACCAATTTCGCTCATTCCTTCTAGTCCCTTTCAATCTTCCAACGGCAATTGGACCCCAAGTGTTTCAAAATAATGCCGGACGGTGCCTCCCATACCAACGCTCTTAATTGTGTCCACAAAAAAGGCGTTGACCGGGAGCGGCAGAAGATGAGAGGAGTTTGAGCAACCGCATCGAATAGGAGAATACTCGGGAGCGACCGAGATGAGGGGGCTAGAGGCGAAGTAAACCGCATTGTTTTGTATCTTGAATTGATGAGTCGGATTGTGGTCAGTCGCCGCCATGTCAATACATTCGGAACAGAGATCAAAGCCTTCGCAATTGATACATCTGTAACCTGTGCCCGGTATCCTCCTGTCACATCCGTTACAAGCTCGCTGTCTACATGATCCACCTCTTTTGCAATGTACACAGGGCTTTAGGTCGGAACCATCCGGTCCACTCCTCAGTGTGGGTAAAGGCTGTCCGAATGTCGTCAACGATCTTGTATTGTAACCATGAAACTGGTGCACATGGCCGGGTTCAAATTTGATGTTTTGTAGACCATACCATGGAATCCAGGAAGAAGGATGGTGAACGGAGAGGGAGAATGGCCTGTCGTGTATGCGTCTGCAAAGGATATCTAAGTTGAAAGCATTGCGCACGACATGTAGCGTAGCCTTTGCGTAGATTTCAGTAGTCGTAGCTTGGTCTGAATAATCTAGCATCCATTCCTCCGTATCGACGTCGCTTGCCATTGATACGAAAGCATAAATGCCATCCCGGGCATCGAAGGAAATGAATGCTGAAAAGTTGTCTAAGAGTTTTCTCAATGTTAGGGGGGACTTTCTACCTCCATCGACCACCAGATACGTGTCCCAAAGTCGTAAAACAGCATCAAGGGGATTCACCGTCGGTGCCGGGTGGACACGCGTGCCGTAGCCATCAACAACAGCTATCTGGCACCTATCATCCACGGGCAATCCTTGACGAAGATGGTAGGGCTGATTCTGAAGTATCTCACAGAATAAAGCGAGATAGTTGAAACAAAAGTTTCGACTACCTAAGTAAGCGTGTTTGTGGGTAGACAAGACAACCTCTTGAACGACCCAGCGCCGCGTGAACCAAGGCCGTTTGATCAGGTCAATCAATGCCGCCCATGTTTCATCTGTTTGATTTTCCAGAAACCGGGCCACAATTCCTTGTCCGTTTTGCATGGACAACATAAGGGGACCCTTCGTGCTTGTTTGCGTGCAGAAAGTCTCGAAACGAATGAACAAGGTCGATGGCGAGATCGCTGTTATCCGATGAGTCCCCTAGCCATATAATGAGTCTTTGCGACCTGTACACCAAATCTATTGTTCCGACCTGATGACCCTTTTCAACATTGTTCAATTGATTGATGCATGTTGCATCGACCCACAAGACCTGCGCTTCCTGAACTTCTTCCCGAAGCTGCTTGAGGCACGACTCGAGGTTCGGTCTGATCGAGAATGGCTTCCAGACAGAATCTTCAGTATCTCTCAGCCAGATTGAACATGACGCGTCTTGCTGGCCCCAGGTGTAGGACAAAGGTTTGTATGGCGGTGCTTCTTTGCGCAAGCAGAGAATCACCTCTGCGCGAAGGTTGTCTGGTTCAGTGTCAGAGGCTGGAAGAATCTTCAGCAGTCTCATGTACGTTCTCGGATACGGGAGTGTTTTGTATGCATAAGTCGACATAGCTGGCGACTTTGGTTGTGCGCTGAAGGCGATCAGGCGAGCAATTATCGGAAAGTTTGCTGTTTCTTAAGTTCTCCCTATGAACGGAGCTCTGGAGCGAGAGACTTGCTACTGATTTAAAAGCGAGTAAGGATCTACGTACTCTAAAATTCACATACATAATGAGTCTCTCACAAAGGGGGCGCTGCCATTGAGCCTTTTTCTACGCACGCCAAGCGGCGAGCCACGTAACACATGCCTTATGTCAGGCATCTGAGACACAGGTCAGTACAAATTTGATTCTCAGAATTACACAACCAATCGTTCCGTTGGGTCTGGTGAAACACAGAGACCGAATGATGAGGCGCCTCATGCAGAGCCGGCTTCGTTCAGTGTGGCATGGCTTCGATGAGGGAACGTAGTACATAATGGCTCCTTGCATGTCCTGGAACAGGGGGCCAATCATCTGCCGATGAATCTGGAATATCTCATTACACATGTTCAAACTATTACGTCGCTTGTACGGCCTGCTACCGATAAAATGATCAAAGTACTTAAAATATGCAATGGCATGGTTCGGCTAGGTAGTGACTAGCCGCCTCTATTGAACTACAAGGTCATATCGTTGAAGATGGGGCTGGTGGCTCGTGAGGCCCCATTACCAGCAGTCACTCATCACCGGCAGTCATAAGTTCATCTCATGTTGGTGTTTCGGCAAAATAGAATCCGAGAAGACGATTTGCAATGTTACAGATAAGCAACAACATACAACGCAATCCTCGTTTTCTCTCACCAAGGAACACATTGACTTGTTCGATAGCTTCTCTTTGTTTCATATCGTTGCAGTCAACGGAGGCTCTAGTGCCATTGATTTTTAAAACGGTCTAGTCTGTGAAAAATTACATAACTGTCGCTTTTGACAGAACCTTACGTGTATCTTTGCGACCCCCTAGAAAGCAGAAATGTCCTACAACAGAAGCTAGCCTAAAGTCTCTGCTTTAAGTACATAGAATCTGGAGACTCTTCGGTGTTTGAGGTATGAAAACCAGGTGCAAAAGACTCCGGACATCACCTCTAAAAATGGAAGGCTCGAAAGTTTATCTGCAACGTGGATCTTAGGGGCTAAATCATGACTACTAACGCCCATCAGCAGGCACGAAGTACGATTGTGGGCGTAAATATGAAGCATTACACATATCTGAGTTGGTGTTAGTAAGAAGCGACGTTGTAGCGGCAATTTCCTCTCGTTTGGTGACGACGACCCAGACTTAGCATGGTCACAGATCACTCGATCCGTTCCCCCTGTACCATTTTCACAGTACCACTGTCATTTCTGCGTCTCTTCTAAGTCATATTTGTTTGAGAGTATTCTCTGGATATAATATTTCAAATGGCCATATATGATGATTAGAAAGGGTGTCAGTTCTGTGTTGACTGGCAACCCAGTTTTGTCAACTATGTGGGAGACAAGAGGGAGTCACAGATGGACATGCGAAGACCACATGAAGCCAAGCTTAGATGCCGTAGACTTGAGCGCAGTCTTCAGCGCCCTCAAGGAAGCAGATAGACGCGACACCATGGGAGGAACTCAACCTCCCCTCCCTTTATCGGAGCAACGGGTGGCTACAACTTGCAAGAGCAACATTGTGAATTGCGCCATCAATACTCCATAACATGGCGAGCAGTTTACACCCAGATTCATGGAAAACCTCAATCTAAACTTTTTTATCTGCCCCTCCAGTACCAATCACTTCGTCCTGCCGTTGAAGCGGTGTTTCCCAAGTTACGGCGAAGGCACGGAACTGGGGCCGAAAGACGCGGCAAAAGTGGGGTCAATAAACTCTGATCGCGGAGGCAAAATACGGTCCAAAACCTTGTACAAGTTCATTGCAATGAATATGGTTCTTTCAGATTTGACCTCCAGGCTAGAGCCCAAGGGATCCCAGCACTGGGAAATTTGGCCAGAGGTTGCAGAGACAATTACAGAGACATGCAGGAGCATCTTGAGCGGTCCCAACCCCTGTTCACCGGCGCATGCTCCACACACATCAGGGTCCCAAACCCTCACACAATCTAACCACAATCCACCTACCCACACTACATCCCAACTCAATGCACATTCTCGTCATACAGGACATCACAACTTATCAGCTTTCATCAGCGTCGATGGTTTAGTGGTAAAATTCTCCGTTGCCATCAAGCAGCGTCGGGGAGCCGGGGGTTCGATTCCCCCTCGACGCAATCTTTTGCTGTTATAGTGATTTCCTTCGGACTAAAATCTCTATTTTGTCATTTCTGGGTAGTAATGGCTCTCGGGCATGTTGCTGGGGTCAAGCAGCATAAAAGAAATCTCGTGTGGGCTTGCTAAGGCTGAAAGACACAGGGGACGGGAAGGGAGGAGGATTAGGCACTCCTGTGCTCCTTGCTGTGTCGCCTTTGGTCTTATCTTCTGCACAATAATGAGTAAGAGTTCTGGAAACTACGAGACATCGTGTGTTGCTTAGGTGAGCTTTGTTCCACGCCGGCTGGTTCTGACAAGCGTTTCGAGCCCTCGAAGATTTTGACTCACTTTGCGTCTTTTCGGGTCCTACATAACTACCGTGATCTCTGCCCGAGATCTCAAATATAATAGCTCTCATAACCGCAAAGCTACTAGAGAAGCTCTCTGCATGTTGCTCTTCGTTTCCACACCCCCCCCCCCGGGGATTTCAGAAGTTTGCAATTCAGAGTCTTCCATCTAGAAGTGGATGACGATGTCTAGGAGAAAAGAAATATCGAGGCCCATGATGTCCTTCTTGCTCTGGGAATAGCGTTTCCGGTGAAAGTTAGACCCCGGGTTCTCAACCACAGTCAAAGACGCCAGACAGAAATCTTCTCTCCTCCTCTCCGCTAAGTGGCTATATCTTGGGGGGATTACCGTGGTATCTAACAGGTCGCCCGCCAGTTGTAGCCCGTCCCGAGCCTGCTTGTGTCAATATGGCATGCTAGAAAGTGCAGAGCCGTTTTTGCTCCGAAGAAAAGGAGTTGAGTAAGTCAGCAAGACTTCCTACCAGATCTCGATGGGCATCAGTGTGCAAAATTGAGACGAGAATGGACCCAGGGGGAGGGGGGGGGGCAGCCAGCCAGCCAGAAGAACACCGACCTAAGATATCATACAGCTCGTAGTATCGTGGCGATTTGAGTGGCACTCGTATCGTCCTCATTGACACATGCGAGTAATTGCCGTGATGACATATGACTCTTAATTCTTGCCAACGCATCGAGTTGAAGAGTCTAGCTATCAGGCAAACGGAATATGGGCATTTCGCAAATCATGTGATAGACGTTGAGATACTAACGTCCTAGATACTGAGGCAATGCCGTCTCGTTCACGCTGAGAACCTGTACAAGGTAGACAAGGTGACAAAGTCTTCAAGACTCAAGCATCACTATGACTCATCTTACAGAACCTACGAGATTCTAAATCCGAAACACATCATCCTTCATCATAAAGTATTACGGGCTTATTCAGGTTTGATCACATTTTACACTTTGAAACAAGCTGAAGGCTTTAGACGTACTTCTTCACAACGTCTACGGACCTCGGAGGCCTCCCTTAGGATACATACTGAGAAACGAGGAGTCATCTGCCTCAGGCTCGTGATCACAGCTACTCCTCCAACAGCATGTTGTTGAGCCTCGAGGCACTCGCGTTGCGTTTCACCAGCTACCTGGTAGACTGGGAATATCTAGCTCGTAAAGTGACCCTATCAAACGCCCGACTTGCAGATTCACGGCCGCCCAGTGCTTAGACACTGTCCTCGGCCTTCGATTTCTGGAAGTCGTCATGCTCCAATAGGAGTTCCATGATCGTTAACACCACGGATGTGACACCTTGGTGACGTAGAGGGGTGTGTAGTCATTTCTCGCGACTGCTAGACGTGCTGCCAGATACGTTCGTTATCAAGTCTTGTGAAACATGTGCAAAGTTTCATTCACAAGGCGTAGGCCATGGAAATTGAGGCGGGATGTTATTGGTTACGATCATCTGTAGAACGCTGGAAACTTCAAATTTGTGGCATGTGAACATACGAGTCACCCTTTGAGGGTATGTATCAATCATTTCCCAAGGTATCGCAACCAAAGCATCACGGCGATATTAGACATCTTGAACTAGACAACTAGCCCGGCTCTGGTCACCCATACTAGCACAAGCCATCGTAATACCAATTGCGATTCGTAGAGACTCACGACTGCTGCCTACCCCCAGACGAAATCTCATCCCTGAAGAAGAAAGCTTCACCAAAACGATTCGCTCTCATCAACTCCCCATCCATCCACTGTCCCAAGGTAACGGACTCACAGTCGTCATCGCGACCGGTGCCTGGCCCCCAAAACGACATCTTCACCAGCGCGTCCAATCCCTCGAAGAGTGGCGATATCCTCTATGGCTTCAACATCCTGTCATATGTCCCAGGAGCATGCTTACACCCAGCCACCCGTACCTCCCGGAGCACAACATCAACCAATCAAACACCATTCATCATCGGACTCTGCACAGCCCCTTCCCCTCTCCCGACACGCCGTGAGTGAAAGCGAGTAACAGTTCACAGAGCAAGGGAGAGTGGTGAACCGGGCGACTCGGGGGGAAAAAACCCAGGTGTGAGTCACAAGGTGTGCGCTCAGCGCCAGCAAATCACACACCCAAGTTTTCGGGTGTGTGATAGTCCTAATGGTGCACCCGGCGGTATCATACCAACCACACACATACACGCCTCGGAGATTGGGGGCGTTTAAGGGAGTGAAAGTCGCAGATAAGACGCCTCGCGTCAGCGGTGCTTCGGCGATGAGATGCACCACTTCAGTGAGACCACATAGATGTCACCCAAGGAGGGAACAACGCAAAGGAAAAGAATCAAAAAGCACGTTAAAGAACACAGCCAACTCATGGTATCGTACCTCACCTCGCGCCAGCTGTCCATCCATCCATCGCCCAAATTGTCGAAATCGCAATCGAACATCTACCAGATTTCCGACATTTCGTCAGCAGATGGATACCACAAATGGATCGATCTAGCCCCCCCTCCCCCCCCTGGGCATCAGGTCCCTGGTCCGCCCCTGCCGCCCAACGACAAATCTCACGTACCTTACCTAAACTCTCGGACTCAACTCACTTAGGCCCAGAAAGATGAAAAAGAAGAAGAAGAAGAAGGAAAAGAAGAGGGCAGAAAGAAACCTGGCAAAAATTTCCTATGAAATGCGTTGTCGATTTACCTTGCATCAACATGCATCTATGAAAAGAACGCAGCCTGGTTACGGTGCAGCGCGCAGGGCGCAGGCCTGCTCTCATTGTGCATATTTGCAGCATGATTGATTTCCTTCAACGTTGCTGCCCAAAATTGATTGGAACTTTTCGCAGTGCAGCCCGAGTCCGCCACACATAGCACACTCACTCACACACCACACACACACCACGCACCACCTACTCAGCGCACTTCTGTCAAACGCTGCGTCATAACCCACGCCGTAGCAAATTCACCAGTAAACAGAGAGCAAAAGCAGGTACCTGAGTGACTTCCCTCTGAGGGGGCGTGTCCTTTCCCACATCGTTCGAAAGATACATTACGTTGCAAGTACCACCAAGACTCCATTCCGTTGGGTATCGAACCTGATATCACCATTTGTCATTCTCGATAGAACACCACAGAAAATAAGAGTCACAGCTCCTCAAAGGGGGTGTTGAAGTCCGGACAGACTTTCGTCCCTTGCCCCTTGCCCCTTGTGTCTCTCTCTTCACAGCGACCCGAAATCCCGGGGACCCGCCTCGCACGCGGGAGATCCTGACGACGGGGGCATCGGACAGTGGCGAAAAAAAATCTCGAAATCCCATCCCATCCGAGCTTTCCATTGGTTAGTACCACCGTTGGACCCCTGGAACTCAAGAGAAAGAAAGGAACTGTGCCACATTGACAAGGATTACAAAGCTGGAGGCTAAGCCACATGTCTTCAGGGATCGCTTACCTCACCACATCCCTGACGCTTGGGGTAAAGGTACATCGGCCGGCTGTGGCGTCGGGGCCTTGGTTTTGCACCTTTGTCTCTTAGTTTGGCCATCGGTGCACCGGTGTACCTATTTCGTACGCGCGCGTGTCTTTCAACGACATGCCATTTCGAGGCTGTGGTCTACTGCGTACCTACACATACGTTACGATTGTGAGTGGCTTCGCGGTGATGATGCGGCCCTCGGCCACCTCGCTCTCGCGCTTTCTCGTGATTGCGTCGGGACCATGAAGAAGTGCGAGATGAGGTCACATGGTCTTCAGACTTGGATTCCACCGAGTCATCGTCCCTCCGAGCTGCCCAGCGTGTGAATCGAGCATCTCGGCTTCGACGATGCTCCTCTGGCGAGTGGCCACAGCTTACTCCTCCACCGCAGCTGGACGGTCCAGAATCAGTCAACGGCATCTCCAGGACAACGGATGGATAACTTAAACCACAAGTCTCAAATCTATACAGAACAACCCTCATTGGCTCAACCAGATCCCATCCCATCGGACCAGTAACCTCACACGCATCATCGGCCCTAGCATCAAAACCCCCTCCTGCAAAAAATTCCTCCTCAGATGCACAGCAATTCGCTACACTGATTCGCGAATTCTCAAAAAATTAAAAAAAATACAAATGCACCCCAATATTGAAAGAAAACGGAAAACCCAAAAACCCCCAACAACGAATTATAAACCTTTACCAGTGCAATTAAAATGCGAATGCCCCTCTTGTTCAGCGAAAACCCTCTGCAAAAGCCCTGGCCATGCACACTCCCCCCGATAAACCCTCTTCCCACCCCCTCGGTACCAACTTAGCTCCAAGCCCCCAGTCCTCCAGCTCAACTCTGTCACCGCAGCATCGTTCAGGGAAACACTAGACATCCCCAGTCCTCTCTTGATAGGGTGATCTGGCCCATAAAGCTGCTGCTCTTGGACTGGAACAGGGGGGCCATGGCCCGATGTCTACACAGTAGTGTACTGCTTGGCAAACGCAAGCAAATCCATTTGGAATAAGGTGCCACCGCCCGGCCTGTGACAGGGATGATAATGGAGCGGGGCCCATCAAGGTCAGTCGAAGCAAAAGAGAGAGAGTCAAGACCAAAAAGCCAGACAGACATGCGTGACGTTGCGGCAAGGCGTGCAGACCGCAGCGCAGCGCAGGGCGACAGACGGGACCAGGGCACCATCCGTTGGCTTGCCGTCCCCTACCCTCAAGAAGCACATACTCCGTAGTCCGTACATATGCCTCCTTCTTTTTCATGGCTCTAGGCGCAGGCGTAGGAGCAAGCGCGTGCGGCGTGCGGCGTGAGGCGTGCTGAGGCTTCGCTCGCCCGTTGCCGCAACCCTGTCCGTCGATGCGTTGTCCACAGGTCTACGGAGCCAGGCCCTCGCAGCTCAAACGCACTGAAAATCAAGGAAATCTTCAGGATCTTCAACGAATCTAGAACAACGTGGATGTGAAGACGATCAAATATCCCCCCAGCAAGGGCCCGGACAAGGGGAGGCATCGTGAAGACAGACAGTGCCTGGTCGACCGGCCGGCCGGCCGCTCTTCCTATCGGTCTACACAACCAGCTAGGGGCCCTTTGGAGCAGGGGCCGAGGATCTCTTCGCTAGGAGTCTAGGACATCGACGGACAACTTTATCCGTCGCGGTCTTGCCGCTTACCGCTCATGATCGGCCGTCGATAATGCACTCCGCCCACCGAAGCGGAGGAAAGAAGCTGAGAAGGGCAAGAGCCAGTGCCGCTCCTCCGCACCCGCGGTCCACTGTCGAAACAGGCGCGACTCTCTTCCAGTTCCCACCATGCTTGTTCCCACTTGGTTGCATGGCGAAGACAGAAGACGAGCAGTTAGACGTTGTATCCCGCTTTTCTTCGCTTCTCGCTTGTCGCTTGTACCGCAGCCCTGGAGTGAGAGGCGATCGTAGTTCGAATACATCACAGGATCAGCCAGAAGCTTAGTAGAACCCTAGGAAGATGGCAAGTTCGGTTTCTGTGCTAGTATCGCTCTCCGTGTAGGTGAGCTGATCCTCTCAGTGACCATGTGTATGTGTTGTCCAAGTGTCGTACGTCCGAGATACCACCACAATTAGCAAATCCATACGCGCCACACCGTCTCGTGATGGCGATGGCCTCACTAGAGATCACCTGGCACCTGATACTGGCTCGAACAATCGTACAATTGTACAGCCCAAAAGTGATACTTCTGTGCGCATCATCGACGTCACTGAGCCCTAACATGACCCTGTCAATGGCCCATCAGGCGCATGCGGCATCTTCAACCCAACAAGGGGCTGCGGACATTATTCTCTCTCTTTTGAACCACTGCGCAACAGAAAGAAACCAGAAACGAAGAAAAAAGTCAAATAGGGCATGAAGCAGCAGAAACCCCTCCTCTTCCCTCCTTCGCAGCTGCAACGACATGCAATGCCATGCAAGTGCCCCGCCAGTCCGTAAGGTGGAATGCGGTAATGATAGGGTGGTTGCCATGGACGCAAAGAGTCGGTGAGGAGGGGCTTTCGCGCTGCGCCTGTCACATTTGCGGTCTGGGCCTGGAGTGCCGGGAACAGAAAATAGCAAGGAAGGAAAAGAAGAATAACAAGGCGGTTGCCAGAGTCCTTGCCTATTTTTGGCCAAAAATGGCTGTCCGTCTCAACGGTATTGGTCGATTAAGGGCGTGAGCTTTGTATGACGGGCGGAGTGGTCGACGAGGGCGATGGTGTATATTTGATGGCCCGGCAGTATCGATCATGGATGAACATGGGCGGACTGCATGGCGGTGGGCATATAGGCGAATAGACGTCAGTGAGGGCATCGCCAGTGGGTATTTGATGCGTGTTTCGATATCGAAAGGGTGGGTGTGTGCGATTCGAAGCTGGTCGTCAAATGGTTGCAACGCATCGGAGGTGTTGGGTTAGGGGAGCAACACCAGAGACGCCAGTGACCGGAGAGACGGAGAGTCGAAGATGACGGGAATGAATGAAGCAGCCGGGAAGACAATGCAAAATGCGGTGGGCCCCTGCTGGCCGCAGGATTAGGGATGCGGATGCGGCCCTTCGTAGTGCAGTAGCGTCCCCTCCCAGCGGCCCTGGCCGTCCGACCATCAACTTGACTGGCCATACGGGGTGGTGCGCCGGAGGAGGAGGAAGGGATTTTGTCAAGTTCGCGGTGCGACGTGTTCATTGACACCCAATCAGAACCAAGGCCCTCCCTTGGATGACCTTCAGAAGGGCTTCGAGGAAGTTTGATAGGTGCAGCAGGATGGCCGACAGCCTTGGGCTGTTGGACAGCAGTGCAGCAGGACTCGTGAATGTTGGGACCGACGACATGAGGCTTTCCGTAGCGCGCTTCTCTCACTCTTCCTTCTCTCTCGTACACTCCTTCTCCCACACCGCACACTCTGCACACCTCGTTTGGTGTAGTATGGCCTGCCTTGATGAGCACTCTTATGAGTCACTCCGCAGCGACCGTCCCATTCCCACACTTGGTGCTATGACATGGTAGTAGGGCTGGCATGATGGGAGAGTGGTCTTATATGATGAGAGACGGGGAGTGAAATGAGACGTGCTCTATTCTCGGTGAGAGATGAAAATTTTTCATATCGCGCTGGGTAAAAAAGCAAATTACAGTACGCACACAGAACATTTGGCGCAACCTGCCGCATGGGCACGCATGGCACCTCGGGAGTCTTGGAGTCAGGGCACAATCGCACACACCCGACACTGACACTAGCCGACGGGGGTCAACAATGACAACAATAACAACATGCAGGGAAACAATCAAGTCTTCCCATAGTGCGGGTAGGGGAAAGAAAAACAAACAGACAAGCCAAGGTCATGGTCAAGACCCGACCTCGAGCCACTGACCGATTGTTGCGGCCCGCGGTGAAGTGCAGGTGAAGGGGGGGCCCAAGAGGTTTGCCATCTTCTAGAACAAAAAATAGTTAGAAAAAGGGTATTTTTTTCTCCTTGTGGTGGGATGAAGCGAACCTAGCAAGCGAGATCCAGGACGCACCGAAGCCCTGTCGTCACAAGCCAGCGCCAGAGCGTGCGCGCGCGGCATCTAGCCAGACGGCTGGGTAAGGGTGGACTCTAGGAGAGACAAGGTCGAGGACTCGGAGAAGACGTTCAATGCTGGAGACGGGAGACGCTGGACCGGTGTGGAACCGTCTCCAACTGCAGCAGGGAAGCCGGAGCAGGGTGTTCGAAATGTTGCAACCTCCATCAACTCCACCCGGCACGCTAGGAACAGCAGCCTGTGTGACGCTATCTCGCTCGCTATGCACCTGCGCTGCAGGGAGCAGGGGAAAGGGGCGTGTAAGAAGAAGGGCATCAGAAGCTTTTGGCCTGACGATATCCTCTCATGGCGAAGAAAAAGGTCTTTCTTCCCATCTTAGTGGCTCGCCCAAACAAATGGCCTGTCGATAGATGGAGCAAACCGAGACTGTGGTTGTGACCATGCGGTCAAGAAACCGGACTGACGGAGTCGAGGATGCTGAAGTCTTGACTGGTGGCACTCACTTCCGTACAGTAAAACTGACTGTATGGAGCAGTACAAGTGGTGAAGCACGGATGTGACTGACGAATCATGAAATGGACGTGTATTTCGATCTCGGTCAGTCCTGACGATGCCGGGGTACCGGTGGCTATCAGTGAGGAACGGGAGAGAATTCAGATTGATGCCGGTTGCCTCTGAGGTGGGATGTCAGTTTGAGATTCGGCCGGCCGAGGAATGCTGATGTTGAATTGAATTTGCCTGCCGCCTATTCTCGGATGGTCCTCTTTATTCAGACGTGTACGTATAGACAGTCAGGAAGTGAGTCGAGGTAGTTGTCCGTGAAGCGGGTGAGAGATGAGACGGATGAGCACGGACGAGAAGAGAAGAGAAAAACAGACATCGGCTGAGACATGAGGCAAGACAAGACAGACACGACGCGACTCAGGTCGTCCGAGGGCTTGTAGGCCAGGCCGAGCCACGACAACGGTGGTGCATATGCGTACGAAAGCAATGGCCGATGAGACCGCGGCGGTAGTTTCGCAGGGTGAGCCGAGTCGATTCGATGCAAA